GGAACAGATCCCACCTTGCAACCACTCCCTCCTTGTAAGTGCGAGACCACGGGTGTTTGTGTAGCTGAAAATAATTTAATCTAAATCTAACAACCACAGTGAGAATAAAATAAATATATGATGCATCGTGGTGAAATCAGGCGCTAGTCAAAATAATGAAATTGGAGAAAGAGAGGGCATTTTTCCAGTAGTTTGTAAATTTTATTGAATTTATATATTTTGGCTCAACTTCTTTTAAGTCCATATAAAAACACATTTCTATGTGACTTTTACTGAAAAACATTAAAGGCTCACAATATGTCATTGTTCTGTTTTTAAGGACTCTTTAGCTATTGGATTTACCTAACTTTGGCGGCCATTTTCTTGCTAATTTCACCACTGAAATAAGGCGACCTCACTTCCTTCAATCGCAAATATCTTGAGTTCTATTCAAGATAAATGGATGTTTATTTCATTGTAAAAAAGGTAAATAAATCAGTTTTCAGAAGATACCAATAACTCCACATGCCAAAAAATTGACAAAACGCCTGATTCCACTGCGTCGTGACACATATATTCAATGAGATGGGGCACGGGGGTGGGAGAGAAAAAGACCCCACCTTGCAACCACCCCCTCCTTGTAGGTGCGGGACCACGGGTGTTTGTGCAGCTTCAGCTTGAAGTCATTGGGCAGCCAGAGGACCAGTGTGCCCTCCATGACCCCAGCGGTGGTGGCGCAGACTCCGTCGTCCGGGCCGCGGCAGTACAGGCACTTCCCGTAGAAACACGTCTGGCCGTCTGACGAGAGAAGAAGGAAGGTGCCACTCCCCTTAAAGAACATAATTTTTTGTTTGTTTTTAAATTTTCTTTTTTTTTAGTAAGAGTATTACGATGCTCACTGCAACTGCATTAGGTCATATGAGCGCACGAAACACAAGTTGGTTGCATTCACAACAGTAATCACTGTACAGCTTGGCTCGAGTCAACAACAAGATTTTAAAATGTTAAAAAACTTGAGGTGAAATAACTGTCTAAAAATGATAACTTCTTCAAAATCAGAATAACTGTATTTACAATTTTATGTAAAGGCTATAAAGGCCTTTATAAAATGAAGGATTCTGTTGGGATCAACGACAAAAAACAGATCTAGCAATTCTTTGCATTTAAAATATATTTCCTTAGGGGGGTCTCTCCAAAGTCTAGACATTCTGTTAAAATGTGTCTAATGGTATAATCAGTGTCGCATTCGACACAGAACGGCTTTTCATCTCCCTGAAGGAGGTATTTGTGTGTCACGGCCGTGTGTCCGATGCGTAATCGAGTAAAAATGACTTCGTTTCTTCTAGAGAGGCCCGAAGGTTTGTAGTAGTATGTAGTAGTATAGGGTTTTACGGCGCTCGCAACTAGTACTGCTAAGGTCATATGAGCGCCCCGAAGTTTTACATGGACCCAGTTTGGGCTTGATGTTGTGTAGTCTGTTGTTGGTTTGATTCTTCCGGTGAGTCTTCCCATAGAAACACGTCTGGTCGTTCGACAAGAGATGGCGACACTTGCGTACGTTAAAGAAAGTAAATTTTGATGACGGGAAAAATGAAACGTGAGGTGCGCTGACAAAATCAGTCGCTTTTTGCTCACAATCTATGAATGGAGTTATCAGGTAAAAATCGACAGAGGCGAGGGGTCAGATCTGTAGATTTTCATCAACTGATGCCATTTTCTTCAAGTTTTATATTATGTATTGGATACTTAGAAACAAGCCACATCCCTAATTAATGCGACAAAAAGTCCACAGCAACCCGCTCCAGCTACTTAGACCACAGAGACTATTGACTATCTCAAAGACCAAATTTCACCTGGAGAGAACATTAGTAGTAATAGTAGCAATGTGGGTATCCCTTGACACAGATTTATCAAATGTATAGTCGCAGAGGGAGAGATAGATAGATAGATAGATAGATAGATAGATAGATAGATAGATAGATAGATAGA